CTGCACCACTTTCTCCACTGACCAAAATTGAGTTGCTCTTCCCCTCATTGACCATTGCCCTGAGAGAGTGAAGGGATATGGGAAGTGAAAAACCAATACTAATTGCATCATCCGCGAAGATAGTAAAGTAGAGCAAAAGTTCCAGTTTTACCTGTACGCAACATCAGCAACAGCAAATACATGAGGACTTAACTCCCCAAATGCAGCTCCTTTATATTGCTCCATCATGTGAGTATCATACAGATGAGGTAATCTTTGGAACGGGTTCACAGCGATTAAAATGTTTCCAGTGTATGTCTGCAGAATGGTGAAAATACTAGACCTTTTTCCATCAATGAAAACTTTAAACATGAAATGTCAAATTAGAGACCTTACATATATCTCATTTAGTTCATATCTAGTAGACATATTTTGAAGAACTCCAGGTTCATGAAGATAGGAAAGTTTAGTCATATCATCTACACCACCAGGTGGAGCTTCATCATCCTTAGGGAACACCTTGGAGATATTTGCAACAACCTGAAAAAAAAATTGTATGTCTAAGATCTCTACAACCACCTAAAATACAAAATCACAAAAAAAAAATGAAAGCATACACACAACAGAATAAAGCAAAGTTTGTTAGAGGAATATGACAATGTCACAGTCAAAGACATTCATTTAAACACTTTATTTCTCTGCACAAAATCCTCAGGATTTTCAGTTCAATCTAATGGTAGACTTAGCTTCTTTCGAACATGATTTCAGTGTTCATCCCTACACGGATGCAGTGATGCACCCAAAGAAGGTAAACAGAATCATAATGTGAACAAAATCAGCACATGAATAGTTCAAAACTTCAAATCAATGTAAAATTGATTGTTGATAGACTAGTTGTATAAAAGGGACTCGCGTCACATAAAACTGACCTTTTTACCATTTGTTGTATTAACATGAGCATCTTGACCATCAATTTTGATCACCTCCCCATCTATCCATGCCAGCTGAGGATCCTCCACCCACACATGAGAACCGACACTAATATTGATAGGTGGCGCCTGCAAGTTGAAAAAGGAAAATCCATGAAAGAACGTGTAAAGGTATTACAGAGTACTATATTAGTGATAAATGAGATAGCAAAATGAATGAAGTTAAACAGAAAGCATAAAATGTTCATGGAGTATGCACATCTCTGTAATAAAGTCCTGAAGGTGAATATTTAACTCTATAGAGACAGAAAAGGTCTACTTGGATTGTGTACATGCAAATTTACAATCCTAAGTTATAATTATAACTCTAACAATTTCTTGATGGCCTAGTCTATAACATCAAAACGTCTATAGAAAGAGATCTTAACTGATATATTCAGGCCTTCAACTTGAAGGGTATTGAAAATGCCAATAGTTGGACAAGTATCTCTAGAGTTTAGGTTTGTTGATATATAATATATGTGCTAACAAAGCAGTGAGTTTCACATATATGGAAATAGAACATTCTTGCTCTAACCAATAATTATATTTGGCACGGGGGGAGGGGAGGGGGAATGACACATTAAATTCTTCATATAGAGACGGGGCTAGGAGGACTGACCCCCCCCCCCCCCC